CCATCATATTTGTTTTTGCGAGCGAAGCTGCAACAGGTCATCTAGTTATTATTAACAGCACTACTTCTGATCACTCCCTGAGCCTCCTCGTGAAGATATTGTGGCCAAAAGGCCAAACTCCCACCCCACAAAAACTTGTGGCCACCCACAGACATAACTTCATTGACAAGACAGCCCATGCTGCAAAGCAGGGCAAAGAATTAGGCCATGTATAAAAAAACAAACCAGCAAAACACATCCATCCACAGAAAAAGAGTAGCCCGCTAGTACGAGCCCTATCCTAACCGCTCAAATCTGCCAGGTCAGAGAGCTAGCAAGACCGGAACGCGCGTGTGTGTGTGTGTGTGTGTGTGTGTGTGTGTGTGTGTGTGTGTGTGTGTCAGTCTTGGTGTGTGTGCGTGTGCGTGTGCGTGTGCGTGTGTGTGTGCGTGTGTGTTTTAAATTTCCACCACAACAGCCCCCATTCCCCCCAGACGAGTAGATTCGAGTTGAGTCAGCCCAACAAATTCAACAATTAAGGAATTTCACCTCTTTAGCAAGCAGCATGAATCATAATAGAATTATAGAACCATTTAGAAGTTAGAACTGCAATTAGCTAGGGTTTCTTCGGGGCCACAACTCCTCTTTTACTATTCCTCGCACGTACAAGGCTGCCCACAATGATGGTTGTTAAGCGGCAGCTGCCCACATCCCCATGTGCCTTAACGTCCCACTTGCACGTTATATGGTAAGTGGCCACCTCTACAGACCGGGCAGGACCGGTTTGCGTGTGGCCTGTGGAAGCACCGCATCCAATTCTCACGGTCACAGTTACGGACGGCATCGAAAGGCACGGCATAGACAGATGTCACAGGCTACGTGGCTCCTACATGCTAGGAACACAGAGGCATGTGTGTGTGTGTGTGTGTGTGTGTGTGTGTGTGTGTGTGTGTGTGTGTGTGTGTGAGTGCACGCTTGTTAAAGGGTATCTGAATCCACCCTGGGTATTGGCTGGGCTGCTGCCTAATCCTGGCTGGTATAACCTCACGACGCTATGCCGTTCTTTCACCCTCATAGCCACATCACCCTCCTCTTTGCCGTCACCTATCTTATCCCATTCTTCGCCCTTATGTGGCCACCCCCTCTGCTGTTGCAATCGGGGATCTAAAGCCTCTGCTGTTGCAATCGCGGATCTAAAGCCTCTGTTGTTGCCATCGGGGATCTAAACCCTCTGCTGTTGCAATCGGGGATCTAAACGGCCAGATTTGATCTGATTTTGTCATTCATATGCGATTGCAGTCGCCAGCCATACCATCGCCTTCATAACAACCAGCACTGTCGCCCTCACCGTTGTTCTCCGCTCATCTTTGCATTCACCCTTCTTTTCCCTCCTCTCAATTTCATCCTTTTTTTTTGTTATCACTTCATCTTCGTCGTCATCCTTGTTCTCGTGGGCGTGTTGGTGCCATCCTCTCCTTTGTGATGGCCTCTCGTTGGACCTCACCCTGGTCTGAGATATGGCCTGCCCATGACAGATTGCCAGTGATCTGTGGTGGACTTTGTGATGGCCTCTCGCTTGGAGTCGTGTTTCATCGACCGATTGGTTGGTGGACATTCCTTCGAWYWCAMWTRKSCKWMATCGACTGACTGGTTGGTGGACATTCCTTCGATTTTTTAATGATGTGGTGGACTTTGCTGGTGGCTTTTTTACATTGGGCYCYCCCCCCCCCCCCCCCYTTTKTYCCYTTYCCCCTTCCCCCCCATTGGGCTCTTTTGTGTTTGGTTTTGGTGGTGGGGGGRGGGGGGGAAGGAACAAGGGGGAATCTGGGGGATTGGTGAACATGGCATGATTTGCTGCTCTGTTTGAGAGATGCAGACGGTGATTCAAAAGAACGCATTTCGTCCTTTTTCTGTGGTGCCTCCCCCCAGATCACTGGTTCTGACAGCGATGCCGGCCTTGGTTGTTTCTTCGACTATTTGAGGGACGATCTGAGAATGAAGAAGGTAAAACAAAGGGCGCCGTCGCAATTCGACAACGTTACTAAATTCAATTGTCTTTGTGAAAGTTGTTTTGAACTTATGACTGACTGGCATAGCCACATGATCCACAATGGCCTTTTCTTTCTTTTTCCTTTTTTTGCCATAAAAAAATATGATTAAAAAAGAAAAAAGTTTGAAAAGCAAAAATTATAATCTCACTTCTGGACGTTTGCAGGTCATCATATATCATAACCATCATCGTTTATTTTTCAAACTTGTTTCTTTAATCATTTTTTAATGGCAACCGCAAGAGCAAACTTGTTTTTTTCCCACCCCTTTTTAAGCGTAATGTG